CTGGTCAAATACTCCCCGGCGCTGGCTATTGTTTCCCCACGGGCGGGTGGGGAGCCTGGCCCGGCCTCTGAGCAAGTGTCCCTGCCCGGGATGCCACCCGCCTGCCCGCCTGCGCCATCATGGACGCGCCCTTCGGCGGTAAGTGCACGGCTGGGGAAGGCCGCGGCTGCAGCCTGAGCCCAGGCGGCGCTGGCAGGGCCCACCTCATTGTAGGGGGTGCTCAGGGGTGCAGTGGCCCCCAGGTGGCCAAGAGCAGAACCACTGCGGGCAGTCAGCACCCGCCAAAGAGGGGTCAAGAGTTCTGTTTATCTTACCAGAAACATCCCTGGAATGCCTCCTGGGGAACAAAGAGAGCTGGGGCCTCCCCCTTAGGCTGGGGGGCTGGCCCCAGGGAGCCCGGTAGAGGGGCTGACAGAGAGGGGGGCCAGCTTGGGACTGGGCTGGGGGTCTCTGGAGACTGCTTCCTGAGGCCCACAGGAGGATCAGGCCTGAGAGGAGTTGGGGCTGGGAGAGTACCTAGAGATTTGGGATCTCCTCCAGGAGCCAGGGAAGAAGCTGGCTAGGGTGAGGAGAGGGCTGCACACCTCCTGGACAAGGTCTTGCTTTCTGCCCAGGCCTCTAGTGGGCAGCTATGGCTGCCCAGCCCCCTCCCACCCAGGGCATGTGTTGGCTTGGTAGCAGGAGACCCTGTCTGGGGAAGAAGGAGGGCCTGGGAACTTGAGCGAAGTCGATCTCTGATGTGGCCCTCATCTCTTCTGCAGACCCTCATCTCCTGCGCACGATAACCCCGGAGACCCTGTGTCACGTGGGAGTGTCCTCCCGCCTACCCCGTCCTACAACGGGACCTGTACATGAAGGCTGAGCCCCCGATCCCCCCGTACGCGGCCATGGGGCAGGGTCTGGTGCCCAGCGAGCTCCACCACGCCCAGCAATCCCAGATGCTGCACCAGCTGCTGCAGCAGCACGGAGCCGGAGCCGAGTAAGCTTGGGCCAGCCGCCTCCAGGTGGGCGGGCGGGGTGGGGGAATCAGGCAGGCCCAGGTGGAGGCAGGGACAGGGATGAACCAGGGAAGGGCAGAGGCTCCGTGGGGAAGACGGTGGTCAACCTGTGCATGTGCGCCGGGACATCTTGGAGACATGGCCGTGGTTAGTTCTCACAGCCATCTTATCTGGCGGGCACGGATTCGAGGGGTGAGCAAAAAGTTCAGGGGTAATGGGTATTTTGAAAAACTACCCATTTTTATCGATTTCACAAAGTTTTGCACCAAAATATACTCAGGCTTTATAATTCCACTTTCCATGAACTTTTTGAAGTCACCTCCTAGGTAAACTGAGGTTCTGAAAGGGGGCATTAACTGGCCCAGATCATGGCATTTGAAAGGGGCAGGCAGAGCCAGGACTGGAACCTGGGTTTAGACCCTGGTGCCATTCATACAGCTCATGGAGTCCTCAGGTTTCTGGCCTGTAACCGAGCTCCCCACTCTAACTCCAACCTGCATAACTCTTTTTTTTATTTTTATATCTGTTTTATCCATCAATATTTCATGGAGGATTTAGTTCAAGGGAAGATCCCACCATCAGAACATTTCATAACTCAAAGGGGAAGGGGTGCTTACCCCACTTACCCCAGGAAGCTCTCCTCTCTGGCTTTAGTGGCCCAGGCCCTCCGTGGCTTGTCTCTAACCATGGAGTCTCTACAGCCCCCATCGTAAGGAGCGACACCGAGAAGGACCCAGCTCACTCCCTGTACAGAGTGCTGAGTGCTCACACACCGGGCCTTTTGCTGGGCGTGATGGAAATGCAGGGACAAGTCAGGAGTGGCTCCTGCCCCCCTGGATTCTGCGGTCCGGTGGTAGGGAAGATGACAGGTGCAGATAATGACAGCACTGAGCACTGGGGGAGCACAGGGGCCAGGGAACACTGACGAGGCAAAGCCCAAAGGCTTCCTGCAAAAGGTGTCCTCTGCGCTGGGCATATTTTGCTGAAACTGGGTGGAGACGGGAGAGGGATGGGCACTGCTGAGGGAGAGCCAGCCCCCCCGTGGCACACACTTCTGTCCCCACAGGCTCCCCACACACCCCTCCAAGAAGAGGAAGCACTCCGAATCACCCCCCAACACCCTCAATGCCCAGATGCTGAATGGAATGATCAAACAGGAGCCTGGGACCGTGACAGCCCTGCCCCCACACCCTGCTCGAGCCCCGTCCCCACCCTGGGCTCCCCAGGGCTCACTCTCACCAGGCCCTGGCTCCTTGCCCCTCAGCATCGCCCGGGTCCAGACGCCTCCTTGGCACCCACCAGGTGCCCCCTCACCAGGTATGTGACTGGCCAGCCCTTCAGATGGGAGTGGGACTGAGGGCCCAGGGCCCAGGGTCCACATGGGGTCCCTTCCCTCCAGGTCTCCTACAGGACAGTGACAGCCTCAGTGGCTCCTACCTGGAGCCCAACTACCAGTCCATCAAGTGGCAGGCCCATCAGCAGAAAAAAGGGGGAAAGCCGGATGGA